ATTCTGATTTATTTTTAAAACATTCTTGCTCCCATTGGCTCCCCTTTTAATAGCTTCACTGCAGCCTGTTTATTGTTACAGATGTTACTTTTAAATGAGGTCATTGAGCTTTCCTTTACTTGCAAAGGCAATGTTTGCCTTTCTATTGCAGGATTGGCAAGGCTGTCTGGAGAACAAGTGCTAATATGAGATCAAGGTTCAAACTTCAGACCCCCAGGAGACTAGGTAGAGAAAAAGTCTCTTCCATGTCTACACCCACTCACATCAGGCTTGTGTCTCTCGAGAGCTCATGGACAGTTCAGCCCAAGCAGTGGATGACCCTGATGGGGGCTAGGCACCTAGCAAATGGAGAAGGAGCAGGTGTGGTCACAGGCTGGCTTGGAGTGTATGTCTCCTCTTGTGTGCTGAGATTCTCACATGTCAAAATCTCAATGGTGGCTTTGTTGTTTGCTCCTCTGTTTCTCTGGATGGTGTACATGATTAACATGCTCAGCTGCCAACTGAAGGTGTAGATTCAACTGCACCCAGGGGCACCTCAGAAGAAAGACCTAGCGATCTGCCTCCTCCCCACCCCCCACCCCCCCAAAAAAAATCAGCCATTGAAAACCCTGTGGAGCGCATTCTGACATATGAGGTAATCATGAGTCACAGTCATCTTGATAGCAACTGGTTTACTTGGAGATAATCATTTCTACGCTTGTATAATTGTGGGAATAAAATATACTACAGCTCCTTGGTATGTGTGTGTGATTGTTAAAAGCATGTTGTTGTTAAGTACTGTGGAGTCGGTTCCAATTCATAGTGACCCTGCACAGGGTTTCTGAAGCTGCAAATCTTTACGGAAGCAGAAAGCCTCATCTTTCTCCCACGGAACAGCTGGGAGTTTCGAACTGCCAACCTTGAGTTTAGCAGCCCAGTTCATAGCCATTATGCTACCAGAGCTCCTTTGTTAAGTGCCGTCTAGTTGATTCTGACCCATAGCAACCCTGTGTAGGGTTTCCAAGGAGCAGCTGGTGAGCTTGAACCACCAACCTTGCAGTTCAAACGACTTTGCAGTCTGACACATTAACTCATAGCACCTCACCAGGACTCCAAAAAAGCATAAGTTAAAAGCATAAGGCATTGCAAATACTTAAAATCCTTCGTGCACATTTTACATTATCTTTGCACACTAAAGTTTGAACTCAAGTTCAACTTGCCACCGATTTTTGTAAATAAACTTTGACTGACACACAGGCTCAGGGCATTCGTGCCCATTACTGCTTTCTTGTCCAGCAGCACAGTTGAATCATTGCAACAGAGTCTGTATGGCCCACTGAGGAAAATAGTCACTTTCTTCACCTTTACAGAGGAAGTTAGCCATTTCCTGAAGTAGACTAAAGGAATGTTTCTATGAGTAGTATTTAAACCATTCAGGAATAAGAGATGAGTGGGAAATCTAAATTGTTCTCATGTGATGATGAGGATCTATCACATACACTATTTATTTGTGATTGATATATTATACTCGGGATATGTTTTCAAGGTTCATTCATGTGGCATGTATCAGAACTTCATTTCTCTTTTAATTCAGTCTTATTTCATTGTATGTGTGTGCCACATTTTGTTCCATCATATGTTTTAATTATTGACATGGTTTGTTTGGTTTTGTTTTTTTAAACAATGAAAATATTTGCCATGGCTCAGAAAGACTGTCCTCAAAACACATGTGTTAATTTGCATAGCAAATAAGAAATGGTGAGCCTCACTCACAAGGATAAAGAGACAAGAAGCCAAGAGATCTCCTCTGCATATCACCCCAGCAACAGCAAATGGTATACACCTACACATTGTCCTTTGACAAGCTACGGAAACGAACTGGACCTCAGGTCTCCTGTCTTGCTCAGTTGGCATTTCTAGCAGGGACTCCACTGAAAAGCTTTCACTTCCCTGCTTTGATAATTGGTTATATCTTGAGAAGTGCTTATATTCCAGCCACACACCCAAATGGTGAAGTTCCTGTGGAGCACCTAGCTTAGTGCTTGGTAGAGTGGAGACACTCATTCAGTATGAGCTCTCAACACTCTCATTAGGACAACAGGTGGTGATTTTTATTAAGTGCTGAAGAGTCATTTCCAACTCACAGCAACCCTGTATAGAGTTTTCAAGGAGCAATTGGTGGGTTTGAATCAGCAACCTTGTAATAATCAGTCCACTCTTAACCTACGGCACCACACTAGGACTCCAGGTAGACCCTTCTTCATTTGGAATTTTCATACCAATCTTTCTACCTCATCTAAGTTCTCAATCAGACACTGATCATTAAAAAGGTCATTGTGTGTTTCTGACCTCCCTCAATCAGTCTGTATGCCTTTTGTAGGTAAGCATCTTTTTGATCTCTTTACTTCTGTTCCACAAAATGGTTCTCTGCACATGCGAGGCCAATGATAAATGAAGAATAGTTGAACAAATAAAGCTAACTGGGCAGTCAGGATAGCAATAGATGAGAATAGAATGGACTAGAGACACAGCAGGGCCTTAAACTGGAAACAAGACCTTCCTGTGTCAAGTAGGAAGTGAAATCTTCCAATACAGTGAGCCACCATGACAGCTCACTCACTCTCCTGGATGCTATGGAGACAGAATAGCCTTTCGTTCATGACTGTGTAAGGGAAGAAGGTCTGGCACTTGTCTCACTGACACCACACACTCAGTTTCCCAGGTGGCTGTCACCCTGGCCCAAACACCTCAATGTAGGTTATAGTGTGGCTCCCAACTCCACCCCGCAGAGCTTGACATCTCCCATTTCAGGAACTTAATCCCTGATTTTAGAATGATATAAAAGCATAAGAACTAGCTGTGAATATTCACTTGTTCAAACAATATTTACTACCATGCATTGATCTGTGCTCTAGGAGGAACAAGGCCAAATTTCTATTTGCAGAGACTTTTAATCCCAAAAGGTTAGAGGAGCCTAGTATTAAATAAGGAAGGTAACTTCAGAAGGTAATACATCAATGAAAAAAATAAAGTCTAGAGATGCTATAAAGTGTCGTTGGAATTATTTGCACTTCATGGTGAGCCTGTATGTTTCAGACAACTGAGTTCCAGAGGGTTTTCATGACTGAGACCTCTCCCAAGCAGGTTGCCGTGTCTTCCAAGAAAGCTCTGGATGACTTCGATGTGCCAGCCTTTCAGTTAGTTAACTCCACGGTTTTACTCCTCCCAAAGACCACCCTCCAATCATCAAAAATCCTTGCAGTGGTTTTATTTTGGGTTTTTTTTGTTGTTGTTGTATTTCAGTCTTACAGAAGTAGATTATCAGACCTTTCTTCCAAGGCCTCTCTGGGTAGATTTGAACTGCCCACCTTTCATTCAGTTGCTAAGAGCAAGTCATATGCACCACCCAAGGTCTGTTGCCATCTAGTTGAGTCTGAGTCATAGAGACTGTACAAGGCAGACTAGAACTGCCCCATGGACTTTGCAAGGCTGTAAATCTTTACAGAAGCAGACTGCCACATCTTTTTCTATATCACCCAGGGACCTACTATTTATGTATGAATAGCCAGGTAGTAAGGATACAGAGAATTACACCTCCCCCTCCCTTCAGTATTGCCTTGTTCAGACTCCTCCCTCCACTGAATTGCTGTCTTCTTCTTTTCCATCTATATAATAATTCTGCTAGCATGTTAGTCATTACATATGGCTCTTTTCTTGCATGTCCCTACATTTTGTGGAAGTCCTGGTGTAGTGCTGTGGGTAAATGTGCCAGACTGCAAAGCCGTTTGAACTGCAAGGTCAGTGGTTCAAGCTCACCAGATGCTCCTCGGAAACCCTATACAGGGTCGCTATGGGTCGGAACTGACCTGACGGCACTTAACAATAACAACAACATATTTTGCAGCATGAAAGCAGTGCCTACACATATTAACTCATGTAGTAAAAACTAAATGGTAGAACAGAGTGAAAGGACAAAGAGTTGAAAGAAATGACAGAAATCTGACTTCAAGAGAGAGGAGGAAAGACACCATGGAGTTTGTAGAACAAAATGGTGCTAAACAAGAAAGTAGGCCTTTGGAACTAAAAGAAAGACCACCACCACCCACTGCCATTGACCCGTCTCCAAGTCATACAGATTCTGTAGGACAGAGGAGACTGTAAATCTTACTGGAGCAGATAGCCTCATCTTGCTCGTACGATCCACTGGTGTGTTTGAACCACTGAGCTCCTTGAGGGAGCCCTGGGTTTGAACCAGGGCTCCTTGAGGGAACAACAGATGGAGATAAATGAAAGGGAAGTAAAATGTGCAGAAGGGAGGTACAGAAGCCAAGGCACACTCAGCCCTGAATTCCCAACGTGGTTATTTACTGGAAGGACACCCACGGCAATTGCTTAAGCCCTCAAAGCAAAATTTTCACCTTCAAAGTAGAGGTAATAATACCATCTACAGCCTAAGGATCTTGTGTGGATTAAGTGAGATACTATGTAGAAAGCCTTTATCCCAATGCCTGACCAGAGGAATCATTTCATTAGTAGCAGCTGGCACTGAATTATTATGGGATTCTAATATTTCAAGTGCCAACTATGCCCTTTCCTCACTGTGAAGTGACAGTGAAGTGAAGGCAAAGTCACATGTCTAGTCCCTCTGGAGACAAATCCCATGAGCTGTATTGTTTGCACAGTTACTGAAGGTACCCCTGGCTCAACAGAGCCCAACCAAGTGAGGGGGGATTGATTAATGTAAATGAATCACAGTTGGAAAGTAATCCAGGACATAAAGTGTCACTTTATTATGTTAAGAATGATGGATTTGCTTGACTTAAATATTATATTTTTCTCTTCATGGGGTACTTTTTAAGGGACATGGGTTGGGGGGAACGGTAGTAGAAAATTTATAACCATCTTAACTAGTGGGATTTCTTCCTACTACAAGCAGTTTATGCAAAACAGATGCCTGGGTATGGGTGCCTGTGTGCACCTGTGGATTTGGTGGTTACATTTCATTTTCTCTACTCTTGCAGTTCTTGCAGACAATCTGAAATCCAACCCTGGAATTAAGTGGCAGTATTTCAGTTCAGAAGAAGGAATTTTCACTGTTTTCCCAGCACACAAGTTCCGGTGTAAGGGCAGCTATGAGCATCGTAGTAGGTACGTTGACATGCTTGCTAAAATTTTCATTGTTGCATTAGAGTAGTCTCTATTCAATATAGTCTCATCATATAGAGGCTTTGCTGCTAAACCATGTTATGTGTACAGAAACTTGTATGTCCCTTGTTCTGAAATGTTTGTACCATTTGACATGTGAATGCAGGCATGCAGGGAAGGGAAAATGATGAAGTCCAGGACTATCTTATCAAGCCAAATAAAACCGGGTGTTTAGTAAAGCAGTTATTTGAAGTACCAAAATTGTTTTGAAGTTTGCATGTCTTTGTTGAGACTAAATGATGGTGCCTTCTCTATGGTGCATCCCTGGAAGACTTTATAGTGTATCGGCATGGACAGAGTTTGTGATTCTCAACTTCTTTGTCTAGTAGGTGCGTGGCCATACTTCTGAAAATGATATGTAAATCTCAGCTAGCTAGACGTTGTAGAGTTGTCCAGAAAGCATTGCATTAAAAGTCGCTGACATCTTGATTCTCTCACAGAAATGACATGAGGTTGTACCACTTAGCCAGAAGGGCAGTAATGATGAGATCATTTGTATGACAAGACTCATCAATTTACAGCATCCCCAAGGCAAAAATCGTTTTCTTTGAATCCCAGCAGTTTCTCCTTTGCAGTGTCAGATGTTTGATACCAGACATCTGGAGCCAGCTTAAAGTGCCCACTTTTCATGTCTTTACTTAGAGTCAAAATTAACCATCTCTCTGGCTGTCCTTCATCTTTAATGTGTCTCGAATTTTCCTTATGGATAATACTTGTTCTGTGCTTTCCATGTGTTGTTGAGTGTGGGGAGTTGTATGGGTTTTTTCATCTCCCTCTGTAGTTGGACCAACAGCCATGGGCCTTAGGGTTCTCGTTTGGGTCTTCTGGCACTAGAGCAAAGAGCCATCTAACTCTTATTTATGATGGAGAATATAGACTAGATGCCATGCTGCTTTGAATGAATCATCTGTGAGGGATAGTCCAAAATGAAAAGCAAGACTTTGTCGCAAATCCACATTTACCTGCACCAGGTACCTTAGACAGTTTTCCTGCATTTTCACCCTAAATCTGAGTGAAATAAACTTTCGAACCTCTCTTCCATTGGCGCAACATCATCCACATTCCCTTCCTCATAGATTGCTATTCCCATCTCTTTACTTGGCCTAACTGCTTCCTTTTTCCACCTTTTCAAGTTCTCTGCATCCCTTTGATATTATGGAGAGGTTGAGGACAGCTTCCCAGGCCATGTATTTATCATTGCTTGTTTATCATTGGAGGAGGCTTCAAAAAGTTCATGGGAAATCCATTCTCTTTTCATTCTGTTTTTCCACAGTTTTGAAGCCCCCTAGTCTATCCCACTAAAGTAGTTTCAACCATAGAGTACTGACAGCGCTAACTTATATTCTGCTTTTCGTGTATGTGATTTAAGATGGGAAGAAGGAACTGTGTTGATTTAAATACAGTCCTTTCCCCTAGCTTATGGTGACCTTGGAGGTCTGAGAGGCTAATATTTGGCATAGTTGTCAGTGGTGAGACTCTGCTTGCTTTCTTTTCCCTCTTTCATTTTTGTAGTTGCCTCTCCTGGATTCTTTTTATCCTGTTTTTCTATTGGCTCAATGATATGGACTAGTGAAAACAGAGTGGGCGCAGGCCTATTTGGCTTGAGAACAATTCATGTAAACTCAGCCAGATTTTGAATTTTGTTGATTTATTGCCAACATTTCTTAATGTCTGCCCAACTTTTGTGACTCAACTGGCATCTAACGTTTCACAGAGCAATCTAGTAGTTTAGGGCTATCAATAAAGGAGAGAGTTCTCTTAAGGCTGATTTGCTTTCTTAAGCTCCCCCTAATTTGTTCCAGCTTTAAAACTGTGAATAGAGACCTCATTAAACCTCTTCTCACAAACCTTCCTGCTCTGCACATTAGCAGAAGGCTGCTTTGATGGGAGGCATTTCTCTTTTGTGTGGTTTTTTTTTTCCTCCTCCCTTTTCTTTTTTTTTCAAATGTTGGCAAACAAAAAACCTGGCTAGAAGAGTAGCTATGACAGGCTTGGACAAATTTTGATGGCACCGTTTTGAATGTTTAGATAAGGGGCCTTTTGGTGACCTATGTGAATTACTGTAGTACAGAAAGGAAAAGGCCCTCTTAGCAGGAAACTTTGTCTAGCGAGAGATAAATCAAACCTGCTATGTAAAACACGCTTACAGGTTGTTGCTGTTAGCTGTGTCCTGTGAGCCCCCAACTCACAATGGAACAGAACCTTGCCCAGTCCTGAACCATTGTAATCCATAGGGTTTTCATTGGCTGATTTTTCATTTGCTCATCCATCTCAGCATGGAAATGTTCTTCCTTGTCCATCTTAGTCCTTGAAACCTGTTCAGCATTATCGTCCTGACAGGCAAGTGGTGGCTTTACATGACTGTTTCAATTTCAGTAGAACCCTGCTCTGCTCTTTACGTCTGCAAAGAAGGATCCAGGACTGGCAAGTGGGCCATTTTCTCTTTCTTACATCCTAAAGGATCACGAGTTCTCTCTCCGTAGTGAAAAGGAGCATGTAGCAGTGCACAGCAGCACCACAGCTGAGAGAGTTGACTTTTGAGTGTGCTGAAAGCGCCACCTTCCCAAGGAGTTTGTTTTCTTAGGTGCTATTCTTCATTGCATCTGTGTTTAGAAGACATAAGTTACTGCAAACACACATTGTTGTTTTCAAAGTACCAATACAGTTTCTCCCTCTCCACTCTGATCTCTTCATCCTTGTGCAATCCCTGAAATAAGCTTGTAAAGACCGACGTACGCACACATCTTTAGTATTCGCAGCTGTGCTACATGAGGTGAGGCCTTCTACCTGAGCCCAGACTGACCCCAGAGATCTTCTTTCCCTCTCTAGACCCATCTACGTCTCCACAGTCCGTCCTCAATCGAAGCACATCGTAGTCATCCTGGACCATGGGGCTTCCGTCACAGACATGCAGCTTCAGATCGCCAAGGACGCCGCCCAGATCATCCTTAGCGCCATTGATGAACACGATAAGGTGACTTGTCCCAGTGAGCTCTGGGGCCCTGGTCCTCCCTGAATGCCTTTTATTAAGTACTTAATATTTTATGATATATTTTCTTTTGTTCTTTTTTTTAAACCATCTTTAAAATAACTCCAGGAAAGGAAATTGCTTTACTTTTTTTTATTCTAACATTTGAGGAAACAGTGACCAACCATCACCAGTCTTCCCCTGTTTTTATGACTTCTAGCCCTGATGGTATAGGATAAGCACTGGATTGCTAACCACAGGGTCAGAAGTTCAAACCCACCATCTGCTCCATGGGAGAACAATGAGACTTCATGCTCCCTGTTGTTGTTGTTGTTGTTGTTGTTAAAAGCTGTCGAGGGAGAACAAACAAGATGGCGGATCGGGTGGACGTATAGCAGAGAGCTCCGCCAATAGCAACACAGAATACCCCACCAAGCAGGTCCAGGGGATGGTCCCAGAACTCTGAACCACATATAAAGGAATACTTAGAAGGTTGGAAGGCTC